TCACAGTTGTGAGGTGGTATCTTATTGTGGTTTTGATCTGCATCTACCTGATGATAAGTGATATTGAGCCTTTTTTCCTGTGTTTGATGGCCATAAGTATGTCTTTGGAGAAGTGTATATTTAGCCATTTTGCACATTTTTTTTTTTGATTGGGTTAATTATTCCATTTTGGGGAAGTTGTGTGAATTCTTTGTAGATTTTGGATATCAGCCCCTGTGATATGTAGTATGCAAATGTTTTCACACATTCAGTAAGGTATCTTTATGTTTTATTGATAGTTTCTTTCTCTGTGCAAATAGTTTCCTTCTCTTATATCTTAGTTTGATATATTCCTAACTATTTATATTCCTTTTGTTTCTTTTGCTGTTTTAGATGTACCTCCAAAGACATCACTGGGGCCTATGTTATAGAGTGTTTGGCTATGTTTTCTTCTAGTATTTTATGGTTTCAGGTCTTATATCCAAAGTTTTTATCCATCTTGAGTAATTGTTTTGTGTATGATAGGGATAGTGGTCTAATTTAGTTCTTTTGCATGAATTGTCCAATTTTACCAGTGAATTTATCAAAGAAACTTTCCCTTCTCCAATGAATACTCTTTGCTCCTTTGTCATGGATGAACTTTAAATAAATCTGGGTTTATTTCTAGGCTTTCAATTCTATTCCATTGGTTTGTGTATTCTTTTTTCCTAGTACCACACTATTTTGATTGTAGTATAGTTTGCAGTTTGGAAAAGTGAAACTAGCATTCTTACTCTTTTGGTAAGAATTACTGTCTACTTGTGGCTCTTTTGTTTGATTATATATGAATTTCAGTTAAAAATATATTTTAATGTTAGGAATATCAACTGAATCTGTACATTAAAAATGATTCCATTTTTTCTTTAAAAATTTTCATAATATTTTTAAAATCGAGGTAACATTGATTTATAGCACTGTATATAGAAGAGTAGATTCACATTTCTTAAATGCATTTTACCACATCCCACCCTCCAAAAGAACACCCTGCTCTTCCAGCTCTGCTGTGCCTACCCTGCAGGCCCACACCTTCACCCCGGCAGGCCAGAGAAGGGCCACACCTCATAGCGACCTGTAGCTGCTACCTTGGTGCCTGTTTCTCCACCTGTAAAATAGACACATGTAGCACTGGCGGGATGTCTGGGGTGTCATGGAGCAGAGGCAGAGCACAAGTCCCACCCAAAACTGATACATTTTGCACAAAAACCAGGTCCGAAGTGAGCTTGTTCTCCATTGGCGTCAATGCACAGCAGCTCAGAGCGAGCTTTCCTAATAAACTGCTTCTGACACTAAAAAAAAAAAGGGTGGTTGAAGATGTCTTAATATGGCAAATATAAGAGGGGGGAGGGTCAAATGGAAATGGGAAAATGTTGCCTAAAGGATGCAAACTTCTAATTAGAAGATGACTAAATTCAAGTATCTAACATATAGCATGGTAAATATAGAATTAACTGTATATAACTATTCTTACTTGTAAGTTACCAAGAGAATAGATCTGGAATGTTCTCACTACACACATACACAAAGGTAATTGTGTGAAGTGGTGGAAATATTAGCTAACCTTATTGTGTTAATTTTACAGTGTATGCATGTATCAAAGCATAAGGTAATACTTAAACTTACACAATGCTACATGTCAGTTATAGCTTAATAAATGTAGGAGTGGAAATTTAGATTTAACAGGTGAAAATTGGGAACCACTAATGAATTTTGAGCAGAAAAGTGAAAATTGTTACAGGGCAGGGAGAGGGGAACCACCGACATCTGCCACATCAAGACAATAAGACTAATGAAAAGGAACTTTAATACCGCGAGTAAACAATATGGAAGGCAAAGAATTAAACACCTGAAGTTACCCATCCCCTTATGGGCAAAACGTCCACCCAAAAGGGATTGGCCCAGAGCAAGACCTGAAAGCCCGCCACAAGCCTAACGCACCTTCTGGCCGGGACCCATAGGAAAGGGTCAGAAATGGCCAGACAAGTCTGAGAGGAAAAAAGCAAAATCAAACTCAACATAAACACTGCCATAGTTAGCCTCCTCATGGGTCTCTCACCCACATCTCTTTCAACCAAGAGCCAAGAAATAAACATGGTTTCTTCACATCTCCCTTTGCTCCACGTGGCTTCCTCAGGTCTCCTGGCTCTCCATTCTGCTTCCTTCTTCCTCGAATTCCTTCTCTTCTTTCTTTTTCTCTGCTCAGCTCCACCCTTCTTCTGTGTGGGGCAGGGAACCTGAAACTTCCCCTTTGTCTAGGGACCACCCAGTTACAAAATAAGCACCTTGGCAGGCTGGTAAATGGACCCAAGGAGGCTGAGAGTAGAAGCAAGAAAACCAGGTAAGAAGCTAGTGCACAAGTCCACTAATTCAATAAGGTCAATAAAAATTCTGCTGTAGTCAAAATTCTTCTTTATTGGAAAAGTAAGAGAAGGTCCTGGCTTTATGTTTGTGAATGAGTTTCTTTCACTTAATGGACAATCTCTATCATTCTAGATTAAAAAAAATCATTCATTGATTTATTCAAAAACAACATATTAAGTTATTACTATGCAGCAGACATTCTGCTAGTGCCAGGGACTGAGAAGGTTAAGGTGAGTTCGCTACCTGTGGATCTGCTAATCCTAAGTGGCATATCCAGCCTCCATGTTGTTACCTACAGTTCTGTAACAAAGCAAGGTCAGAACTGCTGGGTTTTAAGAGCCCAACCCTACAAGGTGACTTTCATATCAAATAAGAGCATAAAGCTGGATTACTCTGAGAAGGGTGTGCATAAAGGGGTATGACTCGGAATGCTCAGAGCCGTTGACTGATTATAATGAAAGACCCCAGAAGCTGATCAGTGGAACACCTTATTGATAAGAGTGAAATCCTGACTGGGGCATTAGGGCTGGATCCAAATGTTAAGGAGAAGGATGTCCTAAAGGAACTCTGCAGAGAGCCTTATGGACTCCACCCCCTACTCCAGCTTTCTGGACACTATCCCCTACTCCAGTGATTGGAAACTACAACTTCCAGCAGTACCAAGGAGAGAACTGCAAGGACCCAAGGGCGGAGCTAGCAGGAATGGATTCTGGGACATTTTGGGGGTAAATAGGGCATGATTGCATCTCACGGGCTCTCGCTCTCTCGCTTGGGAAGCAGCTCTCCTGACCACATGACTCTGTGTGTTCAGTCAGCCTAGCTGGTAAGGTATTTCAGTTACTTTGTATCCCGCTCTCATTCCCTGGGTTGTTTCCTATTCCTTTCCCCTTTTGTAAATAAACCTGTTATTGACCCTTTTGTGGGTACCTGCAGTATAACTGAATTGTGAACGTGTGGGTGAGGCCCCACAGACAGGTGGCCCAGTCCACTCTGGGCTATCCTGTAACAGTTTTTGGTGCCCAACGTGGGGCCTGACCCACAAGCTCACAGTTCACATGAAGAATAGAGGAGCCCAGAGGCTCCACTAGATCCAAAATGGTCCATTGAAATACCCTTCTTGTGAATTTATTAAAGACCTGAAATATTTATTTAAAAGAAAAAAAAAAACTTAAATGGTAGAACTTTTCTTTTTCAGCTATGTAGCAGTGTACTTCAAAATACACTTTCTGAAGAACCCTGAGATGACAGATATGCTCTATTCTTTTTCCTTTGGAAACATTCAGGAATATTACTATGACATCATGCAATTATGTTAGCAGTATTAAAAAAAACTGATTTTACTACATAATAAGGGCACACCTTCAACACTCTACAAGATTGTCAATACAGCTGGACCAGTTTTAAAAACAAACATCTCAAGAAACCATCTATAGCCTTATAGCCTTTTGGCTTTTTCATCCCTTGCAAATCCAAAACTTTGGCTGACCGGCCTATCTTTACAATTAATATATCCAACTGTTGCTCATCACTTTTTTCATTGATATTCTCTTTCTAATAGGATGCTCTTTCTATCTTCGGATGCAAGTCAGAAGGCAAAAATGAACCACGACAACTCTTCGCCTGGCCTATCACCCACTCAGACCTCTGTCTTCCCCCCTTTCCTCCTACTTCCTCTCTTTAATTAAAATAAAAAGGGGGATATGAGAGTCTGCTAATCCTAAGCGGCCTATCCAGCCTCCATTTTGTTACCTACAAAGCAAAGTCAGAACTTCCCAGTCTTAAGAGCCCAACCCTAACAAGGTGACTTTCATATCAATTAAGAGCATAAAGCTGGATCACTCTGAGATGGGTGTGCATCAAGAGGTATGATCAGGAATTCGTGGGGGCTGAGAACGGATGCATAAGCCTACTCCTGATGGATGCATAAACCTACTCATGACCTATACATTATGATGGGGAACACCCCGGGGGGCTGTTGACTGATGAAAAATGAAGGACCCCAGAAGCTGATCAGTGGAACGCCTTATTGATAAGATTGAAATCCTGACTGGGGAGTCAGGGCTGGATGCACATATCAAGCTATCAGCAAAGGAGAAATACAATTCCATCCTTCCCCTCCTTCTTCTCCCTTTCCTTTTCTGCTTCCTCATATGACTAATGCTTTATGATTGGCTTATCAATGAAAGGGCCAGGTACTTGCTGTTCAGCAGCATCCTGCATTATGTAGCCTGCTCCATGATTCCCATTGTTTATCAGTGTGAGGGTTACTCGACACAACAGCAATCCTCAAAGAACTTGTAATAGTGGTACATGCAGATGGTAAATTAAATGAAAGCTGTTATGAAAATACAGGAGTTCATTTTCACATTCCTAATAGTAAGGGCAAAATTTTCCCACTGCACATATATTTAATAACAATATATTTCCTATCCTTAAAATGAAGAAGGTAAGAGAACATGCATACACGTACTGATCTGTCAAAATAGGTGGGGGCGATGGAATTAGTGACGTTACACACATTCACCACAGAAAAGGTACATTCAGATCACACAGGAAGTCATTGGAGCAATAATAAAAGAGACACGAGAGGAGCTGTCTCTCATCTTCTCTCGACACATCTCAGAAGGACCTCAGCAATGAGAACTCTCATCCTTGCCTTGTTCGGGATGTGCTATCTTGCTACACACACAGCGGAAGGTAAGTGGGAAGGCTATTTACGGATTAAGGAACTGTTGTGCAGACCGGTGGGTATAGATTTTGGTCTTGACTGAGGCTCTGACTGGAGAAAAATTCTTTCTCCAAGGGCAGCCTCAGCCTGCCACGTGGGAATTGGGATTGATAATTTTGGGACTTGTAGTTTCCAGAAACAAAGAGAATTTGGTTAGAACCTGGATTCTATCTTCATGATTGAGTGGCCTTTGATAAAATATGTAGATTCTCTGGGCCTAGGCTGCTTTATCCGTAACCTGAATATACTAACTTTAGTCTCATCTGGTATTAAAATGAAATAAATCTTCTGATCACTTATTGGATTTCTTTACACATCAGAAATTCTTGAAAGCATTAGCTGTGACACTGTGATGTTTATTTATGTATGCCCTTGTAGTTTTTGCCCATTTAATACTAATCATAACTTCTCAAAAAATTTGAGAGTTTAATCACAATGGGGAAATGAATTACAGGGGTATGTTCTGAATCAATCAATATTTTCTATTAAAAAATGACAGAAAACTCAGACCTTCATAACCAGAAAATCAATATTACCTTCAAGTATGTAGGAGGGTTTATTATGACTGCTGTTCCCACTTATGATAAATTTTTGAGTTTATAAGAGACTATATGATGTGCTAACAAATAGATCAATGCTTTATTCATAGTCTAAAAATACCTGCATTATTTATTTTTAAAAATTAAAAAAATATATTTTTATTATTTATTTATGCATACAGAACTGGGGTACAGGCTAGAGGTACAGGGGTGGGGAGAGGACTCACCAGAACAAGCAGATTGATGAAGTACACTGCTGAGGAGCAGTGGGCAAGGAGAGGTCTGCGCACCCTATGGGTCACCTCCCTTGTGGGGATTGGACTCGCGCTGAAGGGCTGCAGCTAGCTTCATAGAACTGTGCTCCAAGCCTTTGTGCCACCAGGAAGAGCCCCAACATATATTTCTTAAAAGATCATATTTTCTCCCCAAATGGGTTGGAGTTCATTTCTTCCTGTGATTTTGGCCATGAGAACATCTTTTATATAATCAATATTTCATTACATTAATTAATTACATTAATTAATAATTGTAACTAATTGTGAAGCCAATATTTTGGCGAACTCTTTTTCAAAGCTCCACATTTGTAGACATGACTTAGACTAAAATAGCTGACCTGGTCATGGATTCAAGAGTGTCTGTGAAAACCGGTGGCAAAGTCTGGAACTTCCTGAAATTGTGCTTAAAATTAAAAAATATTGATGAAACAAAAAGCTTAAAACTATTAAATCAGACCAAATGTTGCAACATGGCTGCTAATTTACTAAGACAATCAGCATGCCATTTGGTGCCATCCAGGTGAAGATAGAGACAAAGATGTTCCATAAGAGACTGAAGACTATAGACACTGGGATCTGAATCCTGGGTTTTCTACTTGAATGAACTCCACAAATCCTATGGGATAAGACTTTCTATGAGGCAAGACAATCTCTGCTTTGACTCAATTTTGCAATGCAAATGAAAGTCATATCTTAACTGATAACATGGAAACACACACATTGCTAAGAATAAGGAGAAGACTTCGATTTTGTGGTTCAGTGTCCAGTGGGATTCTGTGAATCTTGGGAGTCATGTTAGTTATTCACAGAAACAAATATTGTTTAAATAGTCAGCCTGTTCTCTGGGCTCAGAGACATTTGAACATTCAAAACAAACTGGCAAAGACAGAGGGCAAAGGACATGCATTTGGGATACTGAGGATGGTGGAAAGGAGTTAAAAAGAGCGTTGTTAGTGAACTTTTTTTTAATTATCATGTTGAAAAATATTTTGCTATTAGCATCATTGGAGATTACAACTGATCATCATCAACATTTTTTTTTTCTGAATATTTCTCTGTGAAGCAAATACCAGTCTGTTTTGGCTTAGGAGAAACTGATTAGATTTTACCAACCCTTTCATATTATAAGCTCTCCTAAGTTATTTTCCTTTCTCCAGTATAAGATGATTGGTTTACATGAAAACTTTGATTCTCCTGAGTCATTTTACTAAGGATGGATACTTTATGGATGGCTTTATAGAGCTCACATTTTACCATTAAAATGAGAACATCTTAAAACAAGCTGCTTCTTATTTAATATTGCCTTCCTCACATTATTCTTTATTTGAAATGGTGTTTTAATTTTGGTTGTTTGGTTTACTTCACCAGGTGTGGGCAGTGAAGTCATTAAAAGGAGTGTCTGTGTACAACTAACCACCAAGCCACTTCATGTTAAACAAGTCAGCAGATACATCATCGATGAGGGCCCCGTGAAAGCCATCGTGTAAGTTTGTCTCCCCCCAGTGCTGGGCTTGATGGAACACAGTTTATAGAAATGCTGCCCTCCTGAGGAAAAATTAGTGTTTTGAGAGTTAGGTTTGGAGATGGCTGGTTCAGATCAGGTTTTGACCATAGAGCACACTGCTGTGATTATTCCCTTTCCTTCTCTCCTTTCCCCTTCTCTTCTTTCTCTCTGTGCCTGCCCCCTCTTCCTCTTCTCTCCCCTCCTTTCATTTATAGTGTGCTGGAGTAGATCAATGTCTATGGAGACATGTTAAAATCTAGCTATATGATATTCTCTTTCCAGGATCTCATTTTTAGAATAGCAACTTTTCCTAACACACAATTGCAATTTTACCCTAAGAAATTATGATGAAGAAAATACCTCCTTTTCCCCAAATTAAGATGAATGTACTTAGGTTTGAAAGGGAACTAGACTAGCTGACCCCAAGCACCCAGTTCAACCACAGCTTTTGGTAGGACTATTAAGAACAGAAGCCTGGAGTTGTGGAGTGCAGAGTTGCTGGGTACTACCTGCAGATATGTCTTGCCTATGCTAAGCGATATAGAAGTAGAGGAAAAGTTTCATGATTCTAAATGACTATTTCTTCTAGCAACTTCTGAACAGGATAGCTTATATCTGGTTTGATAATAATCTGTATAAGATATCTTCTATCTGGTTTGATCTTAACTCCTGATCCCAAAGCTTCCAGGAGGTAACCAATTTTTCTATCTTTCCTTTGCATTGCAGATTTATCACCAAACGTGGCATTAAAATTTGTGCTAATCCAAAACACAAGTGGGTGAAAAATGTTGTCAAAGATCTGGATCGCTCAGCCAAGAAAACCATGACCCAGACCATTACTACACGAGTCCAACGAGCCACCAAGGCAGTCACCAACACAGCCACCAACATAGCCACCAGCACAGCTATCACCCTGATTAATAGACTGGCTACTCGCCCTCTTACCAGTTAGCCAGCCCATCGCCCTTTACAAGTTCATGGACTAATTAAATAATAGTCACTTTTTATGTTTGTGCTGCCTGAGTCCTGTTAATTTTCATTTTTTAAAAAAAGATTTATTTATTTATGCATATAGTATTGGGGTACAGGCCAGAGATACAGGGACGATGAGATACGCCAAAGTGGGGAGTGCTGTTACTTTTCATTTTTAAATCTGTTACATTTTCTACTGAAATGCATAATTAATAAATATTTATTATTGAAACACTCACAAAGTCTTTTCATTATATATTGTGGGAGGTAATATGTCATTTATGTCCTATTTCTATCTAAGCAGTATCCATGAGGTGAGAGATTTTGGGCAACATCTATCAGAGATGAAAATGATAGCCATCATTACAGGTTCTAGCCTACGGTGGTTCACCAAAACTGACAATGGTGATAATAGCAATATTCAAGGTAGATTTCAGCCTACCCTCCAAATGGATTCCTACTAATGATACATAGAGACAAAATAACCCAACGGTCATTTGGTTCCCACTTTACAATTCCACTGCTCAAAAATATGGTTTCACTCAAGTTTGACCTTGATCAAAATTTCTTACCTCCTCATGGATTTTTTTTTTTTAATCCCCTATGAAAAGGAGCAAAACTAGGGCTTGTCAATTTTTTTTTGTCAAGGTAGCAAGGGTTAGACTTTTGGTGAAATGGAACTTGGCTAAAATAAACATCAGTCTCTTTGAACAGGGAAACAATCTCACCATATTTCTGTGGTTTCTGTAATTATCTCTACTTATCATACTGTCGGAGACCACAGCAGATGTCAAAGTCCAAATTTGACAGGTGGGTGGTCAGGGGTCCTTTTCCCAAAGGATGAGGTGGCATGGGTGAAATGAGGCAGACACTGACACTCTAGCTGGTGCAAGTATCTCCTGCCGAAAACTTCAGCCGTTCTTTATTTAAACAATTTCCAAGCAATAAGATTCCATCAGTATGGGCACTGAAGCAAATCTTTAACAATTAATTTCCATGGCTACACCGAAACTTTTGTGATTACATGTTACAAAAAAATTCTTTTGATCATAGAAAGAAAACCACCAGAAACAATCAGCATCCCCATTTTTTCAGATTGATCAATCATTCTAGTCAACATCTCAAATAAAGCAGCAGATCTTTAAGTCCTCCTATGAATAATCCTTTCCCAGATTCCAAACTGCCCAAGGAGGAAGTATATCCTAATCATATATTTTTTTAAAGATTTATTTATTTGCTCATACAGAACTGGGGTACAGGCCACATACAGAACTGGGGTACAGGCCAGAGGCTCAGGGGCGGTGAGAGGATTCACCAGGGGCAGAGCGGGGAGCAGACCAGGCAGATGGACAAAGTACACTGCTGAGGGGAGCAGCGGGCGGGTCAGGAGAGGTCTGCCACGCCATGTGGTCTCCTCTGGGGCAGGCGGGAATCGAACTCATGCAGAAGTGGCTTTAGCTTCTCAGTGCTGTGCTTTAACCCGCTTCGCCACCAGGGAGGGCCATATCCTAATCATATTTTATCCATATTTATAAAGACAATCTACACTCTTGATTTATGCTAAGGTACTTTTCTGAGAAAATCATTGTCAGTTGTTAAACATTTCTGTAATGGGTTCTCAATGTCCAATTAGGCCGCAAGCAAAGGAGGGCCAAGAATTGCTTGATGGTCAAATACAATTGCTATTAGCCAAGAACAAGTACAAGGTAGTTCAGTAAGCATTGCTATGGAGACTCCCCTAATTATGTCTTCTTAGGAACCAGAACTCCCCTTTGTATGTCTTCTTGGGAACCAAGCAGGCTCCAGCATCTCGGGAGTCTCCCCCATTGCCGGACCTTGTCATAAGACAGCATGGGTAGCATAGCCTACGTCATCATACAAGTCATGTTTTCTGTCAATAGGCTTTTATAACCTCAAACATTGTTACATGGAAGGTATCTTGAATGTGATCACAGGTTCTTGCAGGCAAATTTTAATTACATGTTTATCTGGCCACTCAGTACTCTGCACTCTTGTTCTCCTATATTAACATTAAGTTGCTGATATGACAGATGATTAAGGTTCTAGTTGCCAAACACTGGTGATTTACCTCCAGTTCTATCTGACTCTACATCTGAGACTTGACTGCACCTTGATAGCCTCAATAGTCTTACGTGAATAAAAAGTACAAATTGTTGTCTAGTGCCAAAGGGATATTTGCAAGGTCCTGTATTTTCAGAGGGTGACCTGAAATGCCAGGCCTAATCATCCAAATAGATGATTGGAGACCATTAAAAGTTGCTTTGGGGTTATCTACCTTATCTCATTGCTGTTTGCTCACCATCATTTCCAAAGCTGGTCTTGAAGAAAACAAGCACTCACTAAGAATAAAAGGCTTATGCTATGAGGGGTGGAAGCTGGCAAAGTCACAAAAGATAAAGGGGGTGCCTTCCTGGCTGAGATATAAATTTGTGTTTCCCAAATGTATCCCAGACTCCAACATTTTTATAGGTAACAATCATGACATGTGGAAGGATGTGGGAATGCTCATCTTGTTAACGCTTCACATTCCCTAGGGTGATGTCAAGGAGTTTCAGCCAAATAGTTGAGTGTTTTGAATTCATTTAGGTGGAAACTGAGTCTACTAACTGTATATCCCTGAAGTTTTTAAAATTTCCATTCTACTCAAAGAAATAATGTAAGCAGGATCTATCGCAAACTATTAACTTTTTAAGTGCCCGTGACCCCTCCTTTTTGTTCCGATGACACCTAACCCTTAAGCTAAAACTTTGCAGTCTGCCTGTTTTCCTTTTTGCCACCAGTTAGTCTGGAAGTTGTTATATGACTTATTCAGTGGGTGGCCAGTGCCTAGCAGATAAATCTAGTGGGTCAGTTGATATTTGTTGAATGAATGGAAGGAAGAACATATATTGTATTTCCTTCACTCTAACCTTCTATAATTCTAAATTTAATACAACACAAATTGTTGGGGGTGACCAGGTGCAACAATAACACAACAACTACCGGTGGGACTAGATAAGGGCTGTAACGAACTGGGCCTCGCATCAGGGGCATAGCGATGAGTCACCCCTTTAGAATCTGAGCTGAGAATCTATATGAGACCCTTTCCCCTTATAGCAGTGGCAGTAGCTGCGGACCCCACCCTAGGGGCTCCATCTCAGCTGCTGCCCGGGAGCAATAAACTCTGCTCAGCTTTTCTGCCTCCTGTCTTTCTTCCTTACGGCTGGTCACAGAAGTCGGGACAAAGCGCACATAAGCTTTTTTATAGGAGTTACACTTCAGTAAACATTTTTTAAAGTAAATTTCTTTATTATTTATTTACTTGTTTTTAACTAGATATTTTACAATGTTTATTATATCAGTGTATTTGTTTTAGGGTTATCACTTCAAACCTCCACAAATGTATGTTTTCAGGCCATGCCCACCACCAAAATCCCAATAATCCTCCACCAGGTTCCACTGAGCCTCCTCTTTCCCCAATTCCTAACCAACCACCTCCCCCTTCTGATTGCCTCAGTTTTATGTCAGATGTCAAGGGTTTGCTATTGACTTGGTTTTGTCTGATTCTTTGTTTTTCCTATATGTTTCACATGTAAGTGAAAATAATGTATTTTTCTTTTTCCTGCTGACGTGTTTCATTTAGCATTATCCTTCCCAGTTCCAACCAAGCTGTTGCAAAGGTCAAGAGTTATTTATTTAATAGCTGAGTAATATTCCATATTGCGCGCGCGCATGTGTGTGTTTGTGTGTGTGTGTTTGTGTGTGTGTGTGTTGGGTGGAGATTATCTTCCACCTTTTTCTGATGTGCTCTGTTCTTGGACACTTAGGTGCTTTCCATACTTGGCTATTACAAATAGGCCTACAATGGACACATGAGAACATATATCCCTACAGATTCATGCTTTTGCTTTCTTTGGATGGATACCCAAGAGTAGATTTGCTGGATCAGGAGGTAGATCTATTTTTAATACTTAGAGAAACCTCCATATATTTTCTATAGGACTGGGTCAGCCTACATTCCCACCAACAGTGCACTGAGGTACTTTTTCTGCACATCTCCACCAACTCTTGTTTCTACTCTTTCTGATGTGGGTTGTTCTCACAAATGTGAGGTGGTATCTCTTTGTGGTTTTTATATGCATTTCCCGATGATAAGTGAAAATGAGCCTTTTTCTCACGTGCATGTGGTCTATTTTTGGAGACATGTCTATTTTGCTCTTCTGCTAATTTTTTTTAATGAGGCGAATTGTTTGCTTCTTGTTGAGTTGCACGAGTTTTCATATATTTTGGTTATCAGCAACTTGCCAAGATATATGATGTGCAAGTATTTTTTTCCCATTCATTAGGGTGTCCTTTGGTTTTCCAGATAGTTTCTTTCACTATATACATTTTTTTAGTTCATGCAATCCCATCTGTTTATCTTTTCAACAAATGTTATTGGGGACACTTTATATAGTATACTATAGACAAGACAAGATACATTTCTGTCCCCCAGGAATTCACAATCTAGTAGGCAAGACTGTAAGGCAAGCAAGCCAATGGTGGCACTGAATTTGAAACAGGAAACATGCTCAAGAAATAAAAATAACACAGGGAACATGGCATGATCCTTACCTTCTGGGACTTGCACAGTAAGTAGAAAGTTCCAGCAGAAAACAGTATGTTTCATGTCAGAGAAATCCGAGGGCGTAGGAGGGCATGCAGGAACAAACCTGTCCTGGTCTTAGCATGTAGAGATGATCAACACTGCCTTCCCTGGAAAATAGCCTTTAGCCTGAAGGATAGCCTTTACTTGAAGGATGATTCAGCATTACCCAGAGGGTGTCAGTGACTTCCAGGCACAGGTAAAGGCCTGTGTATAACACAAATCCTGGTGTGTTAAGGAAATGTGGTTTGCTATGTAGAAATTAAATGTAGAAATTTCTTAATATGACTGGAGGATGAAGGAAGCTTAGACAACAGAAGGAATGAAGTCAAAAG